TCAGTCCATATTTCAAGGATGCTACCAGTTGCCTAGCTACAACAAGTTGGCTTCTGTACGGTTTTGAAGATGGACATTCTTCCACCATCTGGTGGAACAGGAACTCCATCTCCACATATATCTATGGATATTGTCCTTCCATCTCTGCATGTAGTTGTAGTTCGGACTTTCCTTACATGTAACCATGGTTACATGGATTAATGTATCTGCTGATGTAGGTCTTGCCTTGTATGATGTGATTTAAAATAACTTCCAGTCAAATGCAATATAACGTCACTGAAATACTACTATTAACGGCCTTATTACTTTAAATTTGCTAAAGCCATGTACTTTGTTTCAAACTTTACAAGAATATGATTCGATATAAAAACTATAGTTGTACTTAAGAGTCACACAGGTAACCTCGAGTGGCCCCGTGAAGCGTCTAGAATGATTTAAATACAAGATAGAAAACAGCGCTAGGTTACCATAATCTTGTTATAATTATGTTGTAAAGTTTTATCACAATTAAGTTCCTAGAGAATCCTGGACAGCTCGTGTTATACCAAGAATTGCATTATTCCAACACGAATATGTTTGAAGTTACTTTTACTTTAACAATAAGATCGTGGTTTAAAACGTCATGTTGTTTTAAGAGTACGCCTCAAAATTTCAAAAGGCCTGGTGGTTAGGGCGCTTGACTCGCAATCTACAAGTCGCAAATTCGAATCCCGTTATCGACCTTTCAGCTGTGGGGACGTCATAATGTGATGGTTAATTCACATTTCGTTGGTATAAGATTAGTCCAAGAGTTGGCGGTGGTTGGTATTGACCAGCTGCTTTCTCTCTAGTTTTTAACTTCTAAATAAGGACGGCTATCGCAGATAGCCCTCGAGTAGCTTTTTGCGCGAAGTTCCAAAAATAAACAATAGCGCCAAGAAAATTGAAAGAAAAATCCAAATTGCGTCAGTAGTATTCTTGAAAATGTTATTACAAAATAAATTTAAAATATGATAAACCTGAATAAAGTTTTTAAAAAAAATCCCACTTTACACGATCAAGATATTTACTTCCATGTCGCACCAGGAGGATGTTTTAGGTCATCCATCTTTATCAGAAACATGGCGAAATTTTCCGTGTTGTACGTCCCAAAAATCATGTTTTGATAACTGCGGTGTACACATCACAGCTAGACCATCGTGTAACTTGTGCTTAATCATAACAAAAAAAAAAAAATCTCAATATAGTTGAGCATGCCTATTAAAATGTTTTTTAAAACATACAATAGATGGCAGCACAAAAGGGATCATTCAAAACAATTTAAGGCTAACTTCTAAAAATAAACCTTTTTATTACGTCTTTTACATCGTAAACATAAGATAAGCCTCACGAACTTTAAACATAGTTTTTGCTAATCATATAATACGACCTTTTATAAATTGAAGAAAAAATAAAGAAACACAGTTAAAACGCTCTTCTGTTACACACTTTATAATATTTGAAAATTGTGCATAAATTAAATTTCGACATAATTAAGAAATTTAATTACTTATTTTATTCAATTAAATAGAATGGAATAGGTATACTCTGGAGCCCTGCATGACCAGGTGGTTAGGGCCCCGGCATGGCCAGGTGGTTAGGGTACTCGACTCGCAATCTGAGGGTCGCGGGTTCGAATCCCCGTCCCACCAAACATGCTCGCCCTTTCAGCCGTGGGGGCGTTATAATGTGACGGTCAATCCCACTATTCGTTGGTAAAAGAGTAGCCCAAGAGTTGGCGGTAGGTGGTGATGACTAGCTGCCTTCCCTCTAGTCTTATGCTGCTAAATTAGGGACGGCTAGCGCAGATAGCCCTCGTGTAGCTTTGCGCGAAATTCAAAACAAACAAACAAACGGTATACTCTGAATGATTATGATACGGGTATAAAAGATAGTAACTTTTAAAAATACAGAGTATTTGTAAGTGTTGTTGCTCGTTTGTTTTAGCGCAATGTAGTACGTACACTGCTGTATGGATCGAATTCTGATTTCTAGCGCTATAAGCCCTCAGCTTAACCTTAACGTAAAGCCACCGCGGAAAGAAACATTTTAGCATGACATACTTTTAAGAAAATATTTAGTTCATCATTATTACCACCAGAGGTCTAGTGAGGTGGGAGCGGCGAACTTGTATTTAGTTTGTTTGTTTGTTGTTGTTTTTTTAGCCGGAACGCTGTACCACCACTATTTTCCCCCCGGTGAGACAGCGGTACATCTCCGGATTTACAACGCTACAATCAGGGGGTTGATTCCCCTCGGTGGACTCAGCAGATGGCCCGATGTGGCTTTGCTATTAAACACACGCACACACACACCACTATTTCGAACGAATCCCACCTTGCACGATTATGCAGTACAGTTGTAGTGTTGACACGTCTTTGTTTAGCATTACAACACTGATTAAAACCTCGTGGTTCTAGTGTTGAATCCGTTTTTACAATAATGATAAATCTTGCTGCAATGAGAGTATCGTGGACTTTGATAGTTATGTCTGTTCATTCTTGTAACCTGATTATTTCATTCGTTATTTTGACATTTCACAAGAGTCTGAAATCAGCCTGTCACGGACGCCTTGAGGCTCTCCTTCCATGAGACCTAACTGGCTTTCACCCCTAATGGACCCCAGTTACCACACCCTGAAGACTTGTGTCAGGAAATCATTACCACTTTGGCTTCATAGGCTTTATTACAGCATGCTACGACGGTTATACATACATTAAATATTATAACATTCTCAGAAACATAATTACAAAAAAAATGTTTGAAAAAGTTTATATTCTACTTTAAACAACAAGATCAAACCTAAATAAATATAGTTTCCCTGTAATGAGGAAAAGATAAAACACACCATACATGTAGTATACAGTTTACTATTTTTCTCACTACATAAAACCAATATAAATATAGTTCCCGGTAGTGAGGAAAAGATAAAACACACCATACATGTAGTATACAGTTTACTACTACAAGAACCCTAGTCCTGTTTTTTTTATTTACCCTTGTACAAGGTCGGCGACAAGAGATGGAATTCCCCCAAAGCGGTATAATTTAGTGAAAAATTGTGAATGGAATCAAATATTAGGTTTTGTATTTACGTTGTTGTTGTATTTAAGAATACGCTTCAACATTTCCATAACGCGTTAAGTGAACTGATAAATAAATGGACGCCTCTTTGTTTGTTTCAATGGTATCATGGGAGTGTTGACGGTTATGTATTATTAGTTGTGAAGTATACGGTTGTACATAAACAACAAAATAGAACAGTTTTTAACTTGTCTCAAGACGGATTGATCGCTAACATTATTATTTATGAAGTCTAATAATCAGTAAACCACAGATAGGGAGAATTGTTATCTATTAGGCTAATTTACTGTTTTATTTATTTGTTTATGTTTCCTATTAATCCCAAAGATACACAATGGGCCATCTTTGCTCTGCTCAACGCGGGTATCAAAACCTGATTTATAGCGTAACAAGACCCCGGATTTACCAATAAGCCACCTGGAGGGGGGTCGGGTTAATTTATTACACAGTAATCACATTAAAAAAAACAAAAAAAACTTGAAACCCAACCGGTACTAAACGTTTGTAACAATTGGGGACAATCGTTTATGTGTGTTATGAAACTGTGGTCGAACAATTATGAGTCTATTGTAATAATATGTGTTTGTTTGTAATTAAGCACAAAGCTACACAATGGGCTATCTGTGCTCTGCCCACCACGGGTATCGAAACCCGGATTCTAGCGTTGTAAGTCCGCAGACATACCGCTGTGCCACTGGGGGTCTGTTGTAATAATATGTGTTTGTTTGTAATTAAGCACAAAGCTACACAATGGGCTATCTGTGCTCTGCCCACCACGGGTATCGAAACCCGGATTCTAGCAGACATACCGCTGTGCCACTGGGGGTCTGTTGTAATAATATTATCAATATATGTTGGTATACAGTAAGAACTTAACATATATTTCCGTTCTTTGCGTCCTAGTTACTTATGGAGATGGTTTTGTTTATTTATTTTAGTACAAAACTTCACAATGGACCCTACCTGTACTCTGACAACTGCGGAGAATCGAACCCTAGATTCTATCGTTATAAAGCCGTAAACTTACCGCTGACAACACTGAGGGTTTAAGTTATTGCTCTAAAAATCGTTCTCCCGATGGGACGCCCGTAAGTTTATGGACTTATAACGGGGAAATCTGAGTTTCGATTCCCTGCAGTGGGTAGAGTGGCGATAGTCCGTTGTATATCTTGGTGCGAAGAAAATAACATCAAATGAAAGTCGCACTTGATAGTTTGTTTGTTTGTATCTGTGCTCTGCCCATCACGGGTATCGAACCCGGTTTCTAGCGTTGTAAGTCCGCAGACATACAGCTGTGCCACTGGGGGAGCACTTGAGAGAAAGATCGCTCATTTGTTCATTTGTAAACACAGATCTG